TTTTATGGACAAGATAGTGAGTTAATGAAAACGATAAAAGAAAAAGATGAATTTTTTGGCAGGTAGGATTCTTAGAAATTTTATCCTATAGCCATAAGTTATTTTTCGTTCAATTCTACGGATAGATATCGAGAACAAGCAATTTTAACATGGCATGGATCTAAAGATGAATTTTGCACATTAATCAAGAGAAGTATTCATGTCGAACATACTCGACATCTCGTGACGATGTCCATTGGATCAACAGTTCATTTTCATGATGTCGAAATTAGTCATAGCAAGAATGATGTTCTCGAAAGTAAAGTTTATTATGATCCAAATATTGATACTCTACCAAATGTATCTGATGAACCAATGGAAAATAAATCAAAACAACTGCATGCTGTTCTATATCGAGCTGTTCGATGTTGTTCAAGTGTCATGAAATTTCATCATGAACGACGTCATATTCAATTCTCATTTCTTACATCTGGTTCTACATCGGAATTTATTCAGTCTGGTATCGAACATTTTTTTTAGAATTCGGTCTATCGAAACGTTCATTTTCATGTCTCCTAAATGAAGATGAATATCGTCATTTACGTCAACGTATTATTCAAGACACTGAACTACAAATGAAACTAAAGAAACAACGTGAAAAGCAAAATCAACATACATTATTCATTCCATGTCCAAAATTTCTAGATCACAAACAACTTGCCGATTATAAAAAAGGCATCATAGAATGGTGGAAGAAATATTATGGTAATGAACCACAAACAAAACATATTCAGATCAAATGGGTAGAATCAACATCGAAGAATCTCACCAACAGTGATATTCTCGTTAATAAACGACCACCTATTCGTCTTTTGACTTTGTCAAAAAAATGAAAAGAATAAAAACAGTAAATATTGTCTATATGTTTTCTTTTATTTTCATCAGTCATGTTTATTTATTTTTATTTCTTTATAGATCACGATATTCATAGTTATCATTAACAATAACATCGGAGAAATCTGAATTGACAATATAAATATTATCATGTTTCCATGTTGTATTAGTAGAAGTAGTTGGTTTGTAGTAGAATAGCATTAGTTTTAAATAGATTATTTGAAAAAGAAGAAAATCAATCTTTTTTTATGTACTATCATACAAGTTGATTACGATTATTTTCTGTCTTTTTTTAGATATATTTCTATTCATAATCGTCTCTTTTCAATAGACTAGCATCTTCTGGACGACGCTGTGTAAACCATGACTCAAAAAACGCAACATTTACAAGTAGAAAATAATAATTCTTTTTATTGTGAAAGATATATCAGTCAACATCTTCTATTTTAGTCGATATTGAACGAAGTTGATTTATCACAGAGATTTAGTCAACTATCCAGTTCACTTCAGCATCCGAAGAAGAAGCAGAAGAACAAAGTATCAAAACAAAGAAAGATTATTCCTTATATAGAACTCGATCTCAAACAATTAATTGGAGTCAATATTAATCAAGTCCCATCTTATTTATGTAGTTCAAATGAATCATTTAAAGAAACGATTCATGATATACGACCAAAAATCGGTCAAAATCATTTGGAGGAATTAAGACATGTTGCTATTCTTATGTATAAAATGTTATTAATCGAAAAACTACAAATTCTTTGGATAACATATAGAAAATCAGGTATGGGTGAACTTCAACAGCCACGATCAACCAAGGATGTTGGTTTGAAAATTTGGCCATTTGAAATTTGTTCTCGAATTAAACATGTCGAAAATGCAAACATAACTGATGATGAAAAATGTCACCTATTTGTTGATCATTGCCAAAAGAAATTGAATGATCAAAATGAAATATATCGAAATCAATTACGATATCGAACAAGTCATATCGTGGATTATACATCGCCAATGGAATTAACTATTGAAAATTTTGTAAAACAAGGATTCATGTATCAACGTATCGAATATGATTGCCAAATAGCACTCGTTCAGTATCATTACACTGATGCAGTACTAAAACGTCAATATTTGATTGAAAATCCCAATGAAAACCAAGTAAAAATATCATTGTCATATTTAGATGAATGTACAACATCATAGACGTTTTCTTTTCTTTCATTAGATACAACTGTTCAAATGCCTCTGTAAATTAAAATATGAAGAAGCTGTCACGAAATATCATTTTAATTCACTCAAACAATATATTCCTGCACGTTTGGCTTCGAATTCTTTTCAGAATCAGTTCATGGGAAAACCATCTATAATTGATAGTATTCAAGATATAACTGTACGAAAGAAATTATCCAAACATTATATCGAAGTCGCTGAACAAGCTAAAACTGATATAATGATACTAGCTAGAGATGCAGCCGAAAGACAAATGCGCCAGTATCAAACAAAATATAATATGGAAATGAATCAAGTGTGGCAACATGAAAAAATTCTATCAACTGGTCAACGCTTAACTTCAACGATGATCCATCTGATGGAGAAACGTTTAGCTAATATTGACGCACGCGTCGAATATATCTACAAATGCAAAGCTCAATTATTTCAACTTAATACAAATGTTCTATAACAATATAGAATCTTGCATTTAATATTATCAAATAAAATATTATTTTATTCTATGCTTTTTGTGTCTTTGTTCTAGTATAATTTTCACTAGGATTGTCTTCAATAATTTTAGATATACGTAAAAAACGGATTTACTGTCATCATGGATAAGGATTGTAATCATCGAGTGTTG